ACGCACTGTAGATCTGCTTAATTTTTTGTTTAGATGGTAACAATTACTTTTACATTTTCAAATGTTCCCTCATCATTAGACTTTCAGTGAGTGCAAAACATTTAAACGATAAGCTGACACGTATATCAGCTATCGTGTTACCCATATGGTTGTGATTTTACGCACAATGTCACATTGTATACGTTAGTTTATATATATACATCATTGAATGAATACGACTGTATCTTTTTTTCATTTGTTTGTTGGATATTGTGCACGATGAAAATTAGTATTCACGTATTATTGTTGCTTGGGTTGTCTAGACAAATGTTCGTTCATCAAACAATTTAGCATCTTCAACATCGTATCACAATTACGTTCAGTAAAAAGATGCATATTATACAGTATACGTGTATACAATGCTCGAGCGATAAATCTTAAACTTAATACGCCCATGGTCCTCGAGAGTAATAGCCATGATATTTATACAGTAATACATCGTTGGTTTCTATATACATTTCTTCTTACATTAAATTAAATGTCCCATTACTTTGATTTATAAGATCCCATTGCCGCAGATTATACAACTGTTACAGCAAATATGATCACAGCCAATACTTGAAATTGAATGCTAATATTTATGAGGACGCCTGTGGGACCTTCAATTTATTTAGATGTATCATATAGGCCTGCACATTTTTATGAAGTTCATGATGTGTACATTAGATATTTTGATATCGCGTTGATCATCTGTGCAATTTTTCCATGTTCAACTCATTATTAGACTAGTACAACATGTATCCAATTCCGCAAATATAATTGTCTTATAATATCAATTATACTCTTTCGTTATGGTTAAGATTTATCATTGATATGTGAGCAAGGTTAAAAATACAAGATTCCCGAGCGTATAAATAACGGAAAATACAAACGGCCATATTGGATAGTTTAGTGTGTGGCGACGTCTATACACAGATGTTAAAACTATTCTTATGGGTTTCCGCCTCGATTATGGTTACTCTCTAAAGATAACGAAATTTAAGAGATGAGATTACGGGTTGTATTTATCTTAACATGTTAACTTGCGCATAACTTTGATGCATATTATGGTTACATTTTCTTTCTCACTACTTCCATCTATACGGAGTATTTTGAACGTCAAATAATCATCAAAAATAAAATTGGCATTAAACTATCATAAAAGGCTTCTCATAAGCATATTACCAACATAAAACACACCGCATAAATATTTGAGAATATTGATTTATGACAGATTGAAGTGTTTTTTCGAAATAAAATTCTAGTTAATGTTGCCAGACAGAGAAAGCTCTTCGCATTAATACTGTACAGACAGAATTGCGGATACATTTTCTAAATTGGAATGTGAGAATGTAATCTGAGATACCGATCTGGCATTATACTAAAGATATATGCTTTACAATCTTTTTGAACAACTTATGTTTGAATTATAAATAGTTGAATGTAGGCACTATACCATGCGAACATATATTAATTTCTATTTAAAACCATTGACATTTCAAGGCTGTAAATTACAGTTTGTATAATCTCACTGAATGCTTGATGTAGAACAGACTGTAGTAAACATAGCAACCGTATTATGTTTATGGTTATTCCAGATGAAAGAGTCTTTGTAGATCATCAGAGATTCAGATTTACTTCATGTATATTTCCTCTCTGATTTGAGCCACAAAGGTAGCATCCATAGCCATAGTTATGAATACCACATTTTTAAGTACACATGTATGTCATCGTAAATAATACTTTATTTGTTCTTAGTTAAAGTGGGGTTATCAAATATACTTGTGAATGTAGGTCATATAGTTTAGCTCAGAGTTAAGGTCCATTGTAAGCTACAGTGTACAAATTATACACGGTAAACTGTTAGAATGATGGTGAATGATGGAACCTCAAACTAACATGTTTTTTTCGAGATATTACATATCTATATAGTAATTAGCCTTTTGATTGTATTAGTTATTGCTTGTAAAACGTTGATGATCTCATTAGTGGTACATCGGGGATAATTTAGCTTTTTATTCATTGCGGGTTATGTATAAAATGACTCTAATCGATCTAAGAACAGAACGTGAAAAAAGTCTTAACACCGATTTTATATCTTATTTATAATCATTCGCAGTCCAATTATACCTGCTGAAATTCGATTTTTATGTAGATCAAGTATTTCTGAAATGGAAAAATGTCTCTTCATAGAATATAAAACTTAAATCAATTAGTCAATGTTTTCACAACGTTCGACACAACAATTAATTACTTTTCATGTATAGTTGTGTACATTTTGTACTAATATGGTTTGTAGGGATTTGCTCTTACGAGTGTCATTTTCATCTGTTGATTGGATTTGAGCTAAATGTGTCATTTAGTTATTTTGATTATATCTAATTTCTACCAGTTCAAGTTACCTCCAGTATGTCTATCGTGTCTATGGACGTTCTCGCATCCCGATGCATTATTTATCATTACAGAACACATTTAGTGCTAGGCGATTCCTGAGACTTTAAATAATAGACATAAGAAGTGTACTAATCAGCCATTGTCCGATGCCTACGTCCCATATGTCTCAACCTAATCACGAATAGCAGCAATGCTTTAATTTAACTAATTATATTGGGACCAATAAAACAAATCCTTGCGAAATTACTTTTTCCATGTTCAGTTTCAGATCTTATTTTAGAACCGACATTCTCGCTGGTTTTGTCAGTTTCAGTTGCCATGTCAAGATAAGACCAATAAATCATTATGGATCGCCAGGCAATTAAGAATTTTGACAAAGAAAGATGAAAATAGTGCCACGATTGCGTATAAATCACAATTTTGTGGTTAATTTTTTATAAAAGTATCATATTTATTGGTCAAATATGACATCGGTTAAATTGTTTCAAAAGCAATCTAAAATATACGGTTTATTTCACCCCTTGTTTGACCGCTGGATATAATATGTCATTGTTTAAAGTTGAACAATTCGGAAAACTCAGATCCAAACATAATCCAAAATAGGACACTTGGTAAATCTTATTCAATTAGAACCAATTTAATCAACAGTATAAGATGCATAAATGTCTAATTCTTACCAAGAATGTACAAATCTACTCTTATGATATACAATCATAGTAATATTCCTGGATTGTAAATAAGGCACGAAAAGAAATAAAAAAAAATACCCATGAATTTTTTTCTAAAAGTCTCAAAGGGTTTTGAAAACATCTACGAGTGAAATAAAAACATTTACAATTGTAAAATGCACTAGACGTGAAATGTATACGTTAAGAAGAGAACGTCAGTTGAAACCTAAGCCAAATGTCCAAATGTTCATAAAACCTATCAGTAGATTAACACCATGGGTTTAATTTCACCTTTATTTTTGGATCTCATTGTGGACAAAAGTGCCATTACTTGCCAAGTAATGGAATTAGAACATTTGTAATTGATCACAAAACGACCGCCCAGCATACATTTACAGTAGTTAAAGAACAATTCCCTGGCATATTGACCTAATTTATCTCGAGTCCAGCAATTATATCATTATATCATTACAATATATGTAATTAGAGGTGTTTGAGAGGAATACAAAAACATATACATGTTTTTATAATATCATGAGAATTATTAGCTGGTGGGATAGTATGCCGTGGGGTGTGTCGATATTCAAGACTATGACAGAAGTAGTTGTTTTAGAGTTTATACTTCAAGTTTATAGGACCAATGATTCGCTCATGTTTTCCTTTTGTAGTGCTCATAGTGGGTTTTCACAGCAGTTTCACCTGGATGTTGCCCTGTACGTCATCTTGGAATACAAATGTGACACGCTGAATGTTAGAACTAATTTAGAGCTCCTGAAATATTCATTTCAGAAAGTAGTTCAAATCATTTGGGATATGGGAATGGTACACTAACCAAAATAGCAAATTATTTATGAGTTCCAAAGGCACAGAGTGAGATGTCTTATACTAATAATTGACCCAACTCCATAGCTTATTAAAAGGCCAACTTAAACTTTTGAGATAATCAGAATAGAAATGGATACTGAAATTAAAAAAGTTGAATTTGTTTACTCGGATATTGATAGACTGGTACTATGAATCTGGTTAACCGATAGCATAACTCATTAGATGAAGTAATTAAACAAATTTGCAATAAAGGAAATGTTCAGTGTACATGGATAACATGAGACTCCATGTAATTTGACATACATGTAAGCCGTACTGTCCTTTTTAACAAACAGACAAGACAAATAGTAAGAATTGATAAGGATACGAAAAATATATTGCATTAGATATTGCATTAAACATCACAACTTTTGTCATCTTCCCATTACATTGTCCCTAAGTTTACCGGGATGCAAAAATGTTCAACTCGGTTGAACAAATGAAAACCCTGATATTCCCGGTGAATTCAACAGCAGCACAGTGTTTATTATAGGGCCCTGTGTCGATGTCTTCATTAGACTATCAAGACTTTTAAATGTTATGAAGGCAAGCATGCGATACCATAGCCTTTATTGTCGTATTGTCATGTACAAACATCAAAGCGTCTAAATATTTTATAGACGACCGTGAGTTGGAATGTAAGACCACTTGGAGAAGGGTTATACAGTCACAATATAAGAAATATCAGATCAACTAGTGGTTGGTGCTAAACACATCTAATTAATGGAGGTTTGACCATATTCACACCATATAACACTGTTTTATATACCATAAACAACAATAACAATTAATTAATAGCCCATTTTAAAATACTACCATGCTAGATCCGCGGAGGGATATTTCAGTTGCTGCGAGTAGGCTTACAAAATGGCCGTGGTAATTAATTATGAATTCATAGAAACTGTGACCTTTATCTAAAAAGTTGGCAAATTTTAACAAGAAGTGAAGATAACTATTTTCTATTTGTCTTCAATTAGTCTTTGTTATTATTGAAGTCACGGTGAGATGTATTTTGATAGAGCAGAAACGTATACTGTTGAAATATTTTTATTAGCGCAATATCTTCCGATAGGTGTGTGTCAGTGTCAGAGTTCATCTCTACACATCAACCACAGCCGCAGTTTTATTGGTTGACATAAAACGAAGTATGTATCAGTTTATATGCGGAGTTTATAGCTGTGGGAGCAATAATCTGCATTATTATTATTCTTAAAGGCGAAAATTATCTAGGAACTTGCGTTTAGATATTGACTCATATACTTTGTGGATTTTAGTGGTCATATTAGTTCAATTTATAGACGATATGAGTTCATATTTCCCACAAGGCCAGGCCGGTGACATGGGGCCCCACGATGCAGGATCGAGTGCTGTTTCGGAAGGGAGTTTTAATCGAGAAAGCTGCACAAGTACCGATTTCAAATCCCCCGGATACGTTGCCCCGGGGTCGAATTACAATGACTTTACATGCCGAATGCCAGCAGCCTTTCAATCCAGGACGGGGGAATTTCGAAATGGACTACCAAATAACAATTTTCTAGCTTCACAATATGGCCAATCGGGACTCGGAGGCCAAGGTTTTGCCGACATTGACTGTGGTTTAGGAACTGCTACCTCGCTAAGTCATTGTTCACCAGTGTCTCCACCCCCACGAGTAACACCATTTTACCCATGGATGTCTATAGTCGGTAAGCTACCATTTCAGTTAGTTTAAAGTTTCTAAATCCCTTATGTTGTACTACAGATAAGTTACGACGCTATTATTCGCGTCATTATAACTCTCTATAATTACAATTCCCGCAGTTAAGATGGCTTCTTGTGATTTAAAGGTTGAAAGATCACACTGCTCTTTCATCTCAACCATTTGGGGTTGTTTATACCATGTCTTGTCCTTTTAATATGTTGATATGCTTTAATTATTCCTACCTGTTCATACTTATTCATTTAAACTTGTATTGAATGAGTAAGCATGTCGTCTTAATTGTTGTACTTCTGCGGGTATTGTCATGGTGTATCATGGTTGCACCGCAATATTTGAATTGGTTTACTGTAACTGTGCTATATGGATTCAGATTGACAATACGACATCTGATGGGCCAAAACACATAAGAAATCTCGATAACACAATTGAAGCAGACCATATCAGTAAATGACTTACTTGTGTCAATTGAATATAAACTATCTGCTAAACAGGTCACCGTGCCATCCGAAAGATGCAATTGAGCGATTGGAGTTTACACTGGTAATGGTATAATGTGATGGTAAGATGCTCCTTGCAGACTTGAGCTTCATGTGGGTGAGAAACCAATGCAGCTTCCTACATGTGCTGGGTTGGATCATGGTTCAGAATATCAGGGGCTAGTTTTCCCTCAAAATACCCGGGGTTAGTTTTCCTTCAGAATATCGGAGGCTAGTTTTCCTTCAGAATATTGGGAGCTAGTTTCCCCTCGGAATATCAAATATCAGGGGCTACTTTTCCATCAGAATATTGGGGGGTCAGTTTTCCATCAGAATATCGGGGGCTACAGTAATTTTCCACCAGGAGCTAGTTTTCCCTCAGAATATTGGGGGCTAGTTTTCCCCATGACTTGTCATGGTCCTGGATGTTTCTTTATCGTGCAATGTTTTGTAATGTTCTTTGGTACACTTCTCACCTTGCTCTTGTTCTTGCATAACAATCAGCATTTTGTGCTTTATTAATACATGTGAATGGTAAGATATGGCTAAAATAAGTGACAGTACTATACATGCAAGAACAGCTAAACATTCTTTAGTTATCATTGAATTGTTCAAGATTAGTTGACATAGATACGTAGGTCAAACATGTTGTTGACCAGATTTAACTTTCCCTGGCTCTCCATTGCCATTTTGCACAAACGTCCCATAGCTACTGGCCATATACATGTGTCCATCAATAGTATCAACCCTGTCCTTAACCTCATGTGCTCTGTCGCTATGTTTAGTTCCCTGGGGAGATTTGCTATAAAATAAGCATAAAATAAAATCATATCACAAACATGGTTTATGACCGAGATAGGAAGATCTCAGAACACGAGCCCCATATCTTGCGCATATGTAAACATTACTAAATGGCCAATACTATCAATTTATAAAAGAAATCGCGTTCAAGTAGGTACCCACCTCGCAACTGTAAAACATCAACAAATCAAAGATGATGATGCAAGGAAATATACCAAAATAGCGTCTGTAACAAACATATACAGGTATATTATACACGTTAGTTGAACCGAGCCCAATCTGTTTAAATATTTTTAAAACTAAATGCTCCCGAAATTCCAATGGCCTGTTCACTTGCCACGATTTTACAACGATTTTTGGGCATTCAGAAGATAACATTTCATTCGGGTTGTTCAGGTTGTTCATACTATTCGATGTTTCTCCCAGTCTGTCAGATGATATGCATATTTTTAGGTAAATTTTATTCTTCCGATGTAGCCAAAATGGAAAGCATTGCATAAACCAAACCTCCATAAATCATTCACAAAGGCTAAAATACCTGCCCTCCTGTCGACATAAAAAGTGCAATAACTCTTAATTGTACTTTTGTGTAATAAATACAATTACACGTTAACATAATTTACATTATTTTATATTACAACACATGCCAATATATTGCTGACCCCTTTTAAATAATGATAAGTTTTAATGATGCACTTTTTAAAATAACATTGATTTATTATCTTAGTTCCCAAGCACTAGAATTTGGAGAGAAGACTCGTCACACTGTTCACTCTCAAATATCCCTCAGTCAACATTTTTATTACTGAAATGATTTATAGCTGAGCTGGGTAAAACTTTAATCAATTATCCCTTTTATTTATTTGATTTATTTCAAAATTATCCCATTTTTTACTTTACGACGGTTTAGAATAGTCATTACTCTCGAAACTTTGGTTAAGTTCACTTTGAAGTCAAATGTATAAAGTTGATGTCACCTAGCCGTAACGGGGAATTTACTAAGTTATGTCTAGTCAATCCCAAATTGTAAACAGATTTGAACATTGGTAGAGTAAATAAAAAGACTCAATCGGTAAGAGAATGGTTATGGCTACTGACGTGTACAATAGCAAAACTAGTTATTTCAGTTCAAGTTTCCAGTCAAGGTTTTTGTCTTGGCTTCCCTCAAATGCTGACACAAACATGTTATATATGATTGCTGTTTTATTTCAAAGTGTAACCAATAACGTAATTATCGCATCTGTTTGCTATTACTTCAGGGCCAAACTCTAATCAAAGAAGAAGAGGAAGACAGACTTACACTCGCTTCCAGACTCTGGAACTGGAGAAAGAATTCAAATTCAACCGCTACTTGACAAGAAGGCGACGGATAGAGCTATCCCACATGTTGTGTCTGACGGAAAGACAAATTAAAATTTGGTTCCAAAACAGAAGAATGAAAGAGAAAAAGGAGAACCAAGCGATCAAAGAGATCAACGAACAAAGTAAGACTGATCCAATACCAGCACAATCTTCACAGCGGACATTGACTAGTCCTTCGTAAAGCAACCTATACTTAGACTTATATGTGTGAACCTAAACAGAGCTCCCTCCAAGGGCAATCTCAGCAAGTTAACTCAACAACCACAGGCTCATGTGTTCGCTAGTCCTGATATTATTGCCAATTTGCTCTGTGGTGTGACATTAAACTGCATATACAATTCAGCAGGTGAGGAGAACCAGACAAGGTGTGCTGCGTTTGATGTATAATGTACTGTAAATAGTCAAAGCTGTGTATAGCCCACTGTAGGTTCTAAAAATGTAAATTTAACATGAGAAATGGCCGGGTAAATGTATTTTCACATAGAGTGGATATTTTACATGAGAAAACTGATAGTGCAACTGTGTGAAAAAATACGTATAGTTTCAATATGATGACATCTCATCGCTTAAGTGATACTGAAAAAATGTTCAAAGTACTAAAGTATCCGGGTAGGTATTGAAGAATGCGCCAGCATCATCTCCCGCCATATGCGTACCGCCATGTGCAGAATAAATGAATTCGATGGGATACAAGATGTTTTAGTTCAGTTGGTGTATATTTCCTGTTTTAATTTAAACCAAATTAGGCTTGGATGAATTCATTGTGTCGTATACGCCACTACATCGTCCGTGTAGCAGAAAGATATATAGTAGGCCGAGGACCAATGGTTCCATCCAAGACCTTCAAATGACAATAGTTTTCTGTCATTTGCTAATTTGCTCCGTTTTCCTCTGTGAGTTGCAGTACATAAGTAATATCTGCCATTTGATAGCCTTTCAGGTAATCTGGAACTGTAAATAAAAAGTGTACATGTAATGTATCAGATCATAATTTATTTTCATTTTGTCAAAATAACGCTTTTAAAGCTGAACATAGGTGCTTTCTCATTGATATTGAACTTAGTATTCTTTCAACTATATACTATCTAGAAAGGGTAAATGTTAAACGACGAAGGGTAAAGGTTCCATTTTAATTTACGCTAGGAAAGATGATCTAAATGCATATCAAGCGTGTAAATCGCATGCATGCTTTGGTAGTATTGTTGTATGATAGGTAAATATTGTTAGTTGTAGAAGTGTAATTAGTACACATGAAAGATCATTCTAATAATCTGCTGGGACTTCTGACACATGTTTTTCGTCGCCAACTTACTTTTATATCAAGTAATACCTCATAAATTAAACATACAATTTGATGTAATTATATTTCTGATTTGTATGTATTCGCTGCACAGCGGGACTTTGAACATGTATGATACAATAACAGTCCTATTAAGTACATTTTCTAAATCAATAAAACGATTTCTAAGAAACAATCAACAAAAAGTAATTACAATTGCAACCACTACTTGCATATGCACACAAGTAGTTGTGAAATGCTGTTCTTGTAACACATTAAAGAAAAGATGTAGATTCACTTGTGGTCATCACCACAACACGATTAAGCAATTTTCACAATGTGCCATTGTTTTAGTTTTTCTCCGCATATATAAGATCAAACAGTAATCATGTAGCTATTACCAATGATGCATAGCTTTGTGGCTAGTGATGGGCAATTTATATGCGTTTGTTCCATATACAAATGTCATGTATGTGTACAAACGTTTGTCAAAGGATAAAGTTCTAACATTAAATGAGAAACTAATGCAACTATTTATAGTGTGTATCATCTTATTTGTAATTTATATCAATAATGGATGTTATAGATAATTGGTATATGTAAAATAAAACGTCAGTATGTAATTTCAATCGTGTGTTGCCTTTTTAATATATAAACAAAACATTGAAAATGAGACCCAACAGATATACATATGTATAATGAACACATATGACGATTTACATATATTCCATAAATCAGGGCAAGATATACTATTTACCCAGATACTGCGGTGCATTAGTTATCCTTTTATTACCCCCATATACCGCTGGCGAGACAGCTCAATATGAATTGTGCATGCACAGAAAACGTTTACTTTGAAATGTTTACCATTGTCAGTCCAATAACAATACGTGCCACAATAAAGGCGTCAATTCAATCAGTTGACTTCTGGCTTTTCCATGCAATAGTTGTATTATTAATTTTCCCTTGGTGATTGTGTTTGACAATTGTGTTTAAGTGGCTGTCCCTTATACGGTTATCCTTCCCTTTTGCTTTATTTTTCATTATACAGTTGTCCCTTTTACAGTTCTGATTTGGTTGAACTTTTGGTTGTCCATTTTTGGTTGTCCCTTTCACAATGTGTTTCTGTGCCTTTTGTTATTTTGTTTCCTTTTCGACTGTCCTTTCGACGGTGCGTTTGTGTTGGGTTTGATATTTGTTTCTTACCTGATTGCCCTTTCCAAATTGTGTTTGCGTGGCTGTTTGATGTTTGCTTAGTCTTGTATCTCTTTGGCCTTTGATAGTTCGTTCGTCATGTGAGTCCTTTCAACTGCGTTGGTGAGGCGGTTTAATATTTTGTGCATCGAGATGACTGGCCTTTCTAGAGTATGTTTTTCCTGAATGTGCTTGGTATTATGTGCGTTGTTTTCTACAGAGAAATTTCGAAGTGATATTGTATCTTAACACTAATTGTTTCTCCTGTGTGTTATGTGAATCGTTCTACTTTGATAAGGCATTTTAATGTCTTGTGTTGCATTCTGAGTATTTTGTTCTTGGGATACGAGTACTTGTCCCTTCCCAGGCGCATAAGTGACTATTTTTGGCATTCTGAGTATTTTTTCCTTTGATATTTGTCCCTTCCTAGGCGCTTTAGTGTGACTATTATTTTGGCATCTGAGTATTTTGTTCCTTGGATAGTTTCCTTCTTAGGTCCGTTAGTCTGCATGATTTAGTAGACTGGGTATTTTTATCCTTATTTGTCCTTAGTTGTGTTAACTTTAAGTTGGTATTCTAGGTATTTTTTAAGATAGTTTTCTTATGACAATTCTACACTTAGTTCGCTTTTCTTGCAAGGTTTATTTAAAGTTTTTGGTCTTTTCCATTTGGCACTTGTGCTAATATATTTGTAGCTTGGATATAAACCATACTATTTTGAAACTTTAATTGTGTAATTGTTTAGTGTACAAACTGGACAATGAAAAAAAATCTGAAACTGCATATTTCATAATGACTCAGTCCCAAAATCCAAAGGCAAAACTAGGTCACATTCAAAATAAATAATAAAGAGTAATTCGCAAAGTGTTAACATGACTGATTATTGGGTACACAATTAGAAAGTTGTTTGAAATATCAAATTTTCTGCAATTATATGATACAATATATCAGTAGCATCCACCAAATGCTGTAATTTGAATATTTCTTGGGACAACCGTACCGCGAGGCTTGGTTGTCATGGACGTAAGTAGGGTGCACGGTTTACTTTTGGGAAAATTATTGAATTTTACTTCAGATATATGTCACGGTGCATGTGGTAATCTATAGTCAAACTGAAGCATCATTGTACTGCTTTTAATAAAAGAAAGTAACGTTGTTGGGCAACATAAGACTGCACATACTGTGGATACACGTCGCACGAAACTCGGGACAATTGGCGTAACATTATGGCGTCAAAATACCAAAACAAACAATGCGCAGTATAGGGCGCAAACATTCTTACAACGTCAAAAACGAAGAGCTACACACGTCATATGGAATAATTTGTTATTAATTACTTATCAAATGCCATATTATTCTTTAAATTGAAATAAATCTTTTTTAGTTTTGTACTTTTGTACTTTAATACCCATGTTATAGACTTTGAAACCGATACTGTCAAATTGACAATGACATTAAAAATCATACTAAATCAAGCATTTTCTGATTTCTGATTCAAATATCAAAAGTGGTGATTCTAATTGTAACTTTAATAACGCATTTATTAAGATGGTTTTTGTGTAAGAACTCTCACAAAAATAAGTCAAAACAATACAAGTGTGTCAATGAAAAGTATTTTATTCGCTTGGGATATGAAACGTCACAGAAATATATTGACTAAATTGTAATTTGACGTCGTGTTATTGTCACTCAACCGAATCTTGTAAAATAGAACATATACAATGTACAATCTGTACACACCAGTGACTAATCAAACGTGTAATCAAAACAATTGTTATTGCTATATACGAGAGAAAGTCACCAATAAATCGTCAGCAAGCATATTTAGTGTCTAAAAACTATTAGATCAAATATAACGACTCTAATCAGGTGTGGAGATTTATCATTTGTAGGCTAAAAGGCTTCAGAGAACCTATTAAATTGCAGTTGTCCGATTGCAGTATGTCATGCCAAAAACATATCTAATTTGTCAAGTTGATTGAATACTTTCTTCGGTATTATTGATGCAACTGATCTATTATATGAACTATGGTATAGTGTTTTATTGTTGCTTGCATATGTCATGTAAAAACATAATCTTCCATGTATTTTTATCAATTTGTCGCCAGAATTTTGATATGTTTTTAACATGCGCAGACTGATACATCAAGCATTGTCGGTCGTTTGTCATAAGTCATATATTGCCTACCAGTAGCCTTCTCGCATGCAGATGGTTTATATAATATAGAACCTATAACGGTTTTGACTATGATGTTTTTTATATTTATCATAAATAACATTCACCATTCATCATATTACGCAGATAAACAAATGTAGGAATATATGTGCAGAACGCACGCCCGGAACGACAATTAGCTTTCAAAGTGTCATTATTTTATTATCCTGGTGAATTGTTTTTTCTTAATTGTATCACCATTGTGGTAAGTCGTCCTCCATTCCAGCTGTGCTTGTGATTTCACTCCAGATGCGTTCAACAACATTTGCAGTCTAATTGGTCCCGGTTTACATGAATCTAAAGACATTTTAGACATTTACATAGTTATATCTCACCAAGACGAGCATTTTGTTTGTACGTGTTAATTATGCAATATCGGACTAAAAAATAAATGTGACAAAAGTTCAAATTATGAGAATTAGAGATGGTTTCGGAATTGTATGAGTTATCCATCACTGAGTCCTCCTGGTATAGCATTGTAAAGCCACATTTA